ACTGCTCTCGTGAAAGCCAGGATATCAGCTGAACTTTACCCAGGGCTTCCGGACAACCTGGAATCTAACCAGTACCAACTATATCACTGCTGAATGCACTCAGGCAGCACAGCTGAGGGACGAGACCAGGCACGCTTTGAAACAGCAAGCGAATTAAAAACATGATAAATGCCACTGTGTGACAAGGACAGACATGAGTAATACCCCCTACCAACTTTCACAAACGGTCACGCTCAGAGAACACAAGCATGGTGTCTGAAAGCGCTCTGGTCTGAAATGCCAGGACCAACATTCAGCTGAAGGAGCTTCCTGTCCTCAGATTTTAGTGCATGTCCCCACTGGGCATTCAAATCGGAGAACAGGACGGATTCTGCACAAAGGGTGGCACAAGTATGAAACAAGCTGTGGGTGAAATTAATTAGATCAATTAGCTATTAACAACCAAACAGGTCAAAAGGGTTGAAAAGCCATTGTCATGACTGCAACTACATAGAAATACAAACACTGCTGTGCAAAGTGCAACAACACCTCCAGTTAAACCCAGAGCTCCGCTAAGGTGCGGAGACTGAACTCGGATTTGTAGGTAAACACGCTTTTCCCAGAACTTCTCAAAGTGTGTTAATCCACCACATTAATTTTAAGTGTCAATCTTTTTCCAGCTGGAGAATATCCGCTCTAAACTTGGTTGATATGAAAGACAAAGTTCAGTGGCACTGAAGAGCAAGCAAACACGCGGACCTGCCGAGACCCTTCGTCCCCGTCTGTGATGAAGCGGTGGCGGACTGCCAGAGCGGGCCCGACAGACACTGCAGCACTTGCCCGTGTCGGGGACAGGACGCAGGTTCACTTCCCTAAAACCGAAAAGACTGGGCAAAGTCAGGCGGAGCAGCAGGCGGTAGGGAAGAGCAGCCAACAAAGTCCGTCCCGGTGGGCTCAGGTCCCCCCCCGGCTGTTTATCGGGGTTAACAGCCCCCTCCCGACATGGGATGTTTGTCACCGTTGCTGCTCTCTGCTTGCGCTGGACCGGGGCCATGGCATCGGCGTGTATCTTGAGCCCGAACCCGGACTCGGCCGGTCCTCAACCGCGTTTCTTTCACAAGCCTTTCTGTTGCTCCTCCGGTTTTTAAATTCTGATCGCTCCAACGTTTTAAAGAAACCCCGACCAAGTTCCCGGTGCGCAATATTATTGACCACTGAAAACAGAAACGTGCATCTGGATTTTGTAATATACCTGTTGGAAGAATGATTAGCGACCGGACCAACGGCACAGAGATAGCCTTCAATAATGCAAACTACAGTTCTAAGTTTCACATTTCAGTTTAGCTGCTAAACAACACGCAAACGCAAACGATGACCGCCGAACAAACGTGTAATTAAGCACTAGACGCCTACAATCTGACTGAAGCTTAATTCTGCCGCACCTATCTTTCGAGTTACATCTTTTCATAACTCCTTCCTCAGAGCTATTGTACCTGGCTGGCTTACGCCGATAAGAGAGAACAGTCTTGAAGAAAGTGGTCCGTTTAAAAGGACTGACCCAGCCATCATACACAAGACTCCTCACCTGCTGTAAACACGAAGACAATGGCGAGGGTGACCATGTCGAAACTAATCACTCGCTTTCTTGGTTTACCATCCAGTAACGTCGCCATCGCTGACAAATTTCGCTTGTTGAAGAAATCCTCGAGTATGCTTAGCTGTGGGTATTCGGGGGAAGGGAAGGGGGTCGTATTCCTCCGACGGGTTAAATCCAACTCGAAACCGGAGCAAATCCAGAAATCGGAAACAAGAGAGGACTCTAACCGGGACTCTAAAAGGCTGCCCTGCTCTGAACCTACGCTCACGCCCTTCCGCATAGCCTCACCTGTCCGCAGGTGTGATTGGACCGCTGCGGGCGGCCCCGCCTTGTCACGTGGCTGGAGCTGGAGGGTCTTTCCGCACCAGTATCGGTGTTGTTGTTCACTGGTTTCAAGTCAAGGAATTCGGAGATCACGACTCGCTTCCATATTGTTTCCGTTTGAGGTAGAAACACACATCTGAGTTTCCGTGGCCGACTATTTCTTACTTTTCACATTAGAGTTGACCACCGGCTATGTGTTATTCTATTTTAATGCGCAACTTTTATCTTTCCGTGATTCGTGTGTATCTAAATACTGTGGATGAAACAAAGTATTCAAATACACAAAACTTAATTTATACCGAGATATTAATACATTTTGTAGCAGCAATTTCAGAACACAATATACAGATGTGCACTTCACCCTCAGGGGTAGGTAAAAGTCTATTGCTTTCATCGTTTTACATTAACTGTGGCTCAGGCGCATTTACAAAGCTGATCAACACATTTGTAATGCTCTGCTCGCTGGGGTATCTAAATCTATATTGAACAAACTGCAGTTTGTCAAAAATTCGGCA